TGTGTGTGTGTGTGTGTGTGTGTGTGTGTGTGTGTGTGTGTGTGTGTGTGTGTGTGTGTGTGTGTGTGTGTGTGTGTGATTATGTGGGACATGTTGAGTTTGTTGAGGAGCAGATGAACTCAAGAATAGGGCATTTCTCTTGAGATGCTGCGACGTGTTTTTTATTTTACTTACTCATGAAACAGTAGGTGTTTGGGATGATTGCCGGACTGCATGCTATGTGCTTTATACTTCAATTTAGTAAAAATCAGTACACACACACACACAGTCTGGTTAGCTATCTTTGTGGGGACTCTCCATAGGCGTAATGGTTTTTATACTGTACAAACGTACAAACCGTATTTTCTATAGCCCTACACCTAAACCTACCCCTTACAGGAAACATTCTGCATTTTTACTTTCTCAAAAAAACTCATTCTGTATGATTTATAAGCTTTTGTACCCGTGGGGACCTCAATTTAGGTCCCCACCGTGACACGAGTCCCCATGAGTCTGTGTGTATTCTGGTTTAAGTCCCCACCAGGATATACAGTATAAACCTGTACACACACACACACACACACACACACACACAAACCATTATGCAATTATGGGCTGCACAAAAAAAATTGATTTGTGATCTTTCAGATACAAAATTTGATTTAAAGTGTGATTAAAGCTGTGGTTGTTTAATGACTACACAATTTGGCCAAATATATAATATTAAACTAAATACGAAAAAAAAAATGAAATTTGTAAATTACTATAGTAATATTTCACTGTAAAATAGAAAAAAATGGGTTAATGAGGAATAATAATAAGAATTAAAAGAAAATAATAATTTTATTATTATTATTTCTACTAAATAAAACATTAAACAAAATCATTAAACAAAATGAAAAAAAAATATTGCTATTGTAATATTTTACTGTAAAATTAAAATAGGTATTTAGGAATAATATTAATAATTTATTTTACAGTGACAACTGTACAACTTTTAATATCTTATCAATAATAAAAATAATAATTATTATTAATTATTATTGCTATTATACTATAATTATTTTACTATTATATATCTATAATTATAACAGTCTATAAGTAATCTTATCTATATTAATATCTGAGTGCTTATTAATATCTGTGCTTATTTTTCATAACTGAATTTTGTGTTAAAATGTTTTAATTTATGGAAGTCCAAGCAAATTTTGACTCCAGGTTTATTCATCACACTCAAAATCAAGCACATTAACTTCTACCAAACAACCCTAAAACAAAACTTGTGTAAAAACTAAGTAAATTAATAAAACAATACATTTTACAACTTTTTTTATGTCACTAGCTTGTCGTGTAGTGTAACTACTTATCTAAAAGCATAGCTGTAACTACTTGAACTGATGACAGGCTCCAGTTTTTAATTAAGTAGCTTCCCCAAAATGGACAAGATGATTTCTTTTCTGAGCAGCAGTGGACAGAGGCTGCAGTTGCTGGTGTTTTGACCCTGCCTGTCCGACTACGCTCTAAATAAAGCCTGCACTTGGATCCTCAACCCCGTTGTCACGTCTCCTCATTACAGCATGTAGTAGATTGTGTGTAACAGGTTTTTAAAAGTTTTGATCTTGTTGATCATTTAGAAATGTGTGTATCAAATATGAAACAGTAGTATTTAAAGGGTTAATCCTATAAAATAGCATGTTATCGCTTTCTCTGCTCTGCCACCCTTCTCCCTATTAAAACCCTGAGTAATTGTTCTCCATTACCGTTTATTACTCTCAGGTCTGCCTCTGGTCGACTCACAGCAGGTGAAGCCATAATTACTCAAACAGCACTGCAAACAGGCACCAGAGGCACCATTATTTTACATCCCACAGTAAAGAAAATCCACATTAACGCTCCAACATGTCTGTAGCATGTCTATGACTATACATGTCTGTCTACAGAAATGACTAATGTGTCTTTTTGTGATTTTTTATTCTCTGTAATTCATGGCAAGTTTGTTTTTGAAATCCGTGTCCATTTAAAACTTTATTATTAATTCCTCTTGGTTTTCAATCTTGTAATTTTCTTCCTTCAGTGTTGAATGTCATTGATTAGCGAGCTGTAGTGTTGCCCATCTGATCATAATGGATCAGGACTATGTTAACGCACCATGTCAATACTTTCATGTTTAATTTATCCTGCCCTTTTGTATTTAATGAAAGCCGGTCGGCTGGTAATTTTTCATTTAGCAGGTGCTTTTATCCGCAGTGCATGTATTATAGTTGCAGTCCCTGTGGAGACGAGCATCCTGCGCAAGGACACTGAAGTGACAGCAGATCACAAACTTTCTAATTTAAGACACAAACTACAAGTTTGGGGTCAGTTTGAAAAGTTCATTTGCAAAAGCAGATAACACATTGTTTGTAACAATTTTAAAAAATCATGTTTTTTCATTGTGCATTCCAATTAATCTCAATTGAACACTGCAATTGGGTTTTTTATTTTTGAAAATTTAAAAAATGGAGTTATCTGTTTTTGCAAATAAACTCTTTGTATGTTTTTTTAAAATATAATTTTTCACGTCTCTTCAGCTCACCAAGGCTACATTTATTTGATTAAAAATACAGTAAAAACATATAAAAATATTAGTACAATTTAAAAGAACTGTTTTCTATGTGAATATATTGTAGAATGTAATTAAATTTTTTTTATCAATGTTGAAATCAGTATCTTTGATGAATAGAAAGTTCAAAAGAACAGTATTTATGTGAAACCGAACATTTTTGTATGATTATAAATGTCTTTACTGTCACTTTAGTTCAAGTTTACTGTATTTTTGATCAAATAATTGCAGCTTTGGTGAGCAGAAGCGACATCTTTCACTATTGCGAAGCCATCTTATGCAATTCTTGTAGAATTTGTCATGTGAATTCTGCACATAAATGTATGAAAGTGAATATCTCTGTCTCTTATATAGGATGGATAATAATGAAGGGAGGAGTATGTACTTAAGTCTGCTTTCATGGCCATCTCGTAGGACGGTGGGAGGTGCGTGAGGTTCTGGAAGGACCGGGAGAATGACAGGTCGTACGGCTCTGTTTGGGATGTCAGGATATTGTTCATTCTTGGCTTCTCTGCAGGGTAGAAAGGGAAAAAAAGAGTCAGAGTGAAAAAGAGAGAGAAAGATGAAACGCATCCTATATAAGAGAAAGCAATTCCAGCTCAGTGTATGCAGACCTCCATGGCATCTGTCTGAGAGTGTGTGTGCTGGAATAATATTTGAAGAACTTGTTTAATGAGGGTGAGTGTTGGTCCAGGTAGCTGCTCAGCCAATAAAACACTTGTTGGGAATGTTGTTCCCTCATTTTAACTGTGTGCTCATGGGACTATGAACTGCCAGGCCTGGAATTTGCAGACTATTTTCAAAGGCTTGTGTTTCTAGACTTGTATATATGACATTACATTGGTGCACATATACAGTACCAGACCACATATACACTGCAAAACATGATTTTCTTACGCAGTGTTTTTGTTTTGTTTACTAGTAAAAATTCTAAACTTTCATATAGTTCACCCAAAAATGCTAATTTCTTACAAACGCACAGATTTTCTCTTCTCAAGACATTAACTGATGGACTGGAGTGGTGTGGATTACTTGTGGATTATTGTGATGTTTTTATCAGCTGTTTGGACTCTCATTCTGACGGCACCCATTCACTGCAGATGATCCATTGCTGAGCAAGTGATGTAATGCTACATTTCTCCAAATCTGATGAAGAACAAACTCATCTACATCTCTGATGGCCTGAAGGCGAGCACATTTTCAGCAAATGTTCATTTCTGAGTGAAGCAAAATTTATAAAGTATCAAACTATCAAAATTAAATGAACAAATATCTGCCAATGGGGCAGGGATGTATGTTCACTTTTCTTGCTCAATACACTGGTGCTACAGATGTTGAAAGTGTTGTAGCACAGTCCAAACTCAAAAAATACAAACCATCACAAAAATTGTTTTTAGACAGTTTTTTCTTTATTTGCTAAAAATGGAAGAGTGCAGAAACATAACACCTCCTACACTTCATCAAAATATAAAACAAAAAAGAATGGCAGACATTTAGGCCAAAGTGGGCAAAGATAAAAAGCCTGGTCATTATTTTATCTTTGTTATTAGAAAATAAGAATGTTTAGATACCCACATTCTTTAAAATATCTTATTTTGTGTTCAGCACAAGCAATAATTTAATTCAGGTTTGGGACAACATGTGAACGAGCAAATAATGACAGAAATTAAATTTTTGGGTGAACTCTCCCTTTAATGACAAGCGGCAGCATGTTTAGTTCTGTTGCTTTAAGAGCTGCACGCATCTGTTTCTCTCTCAACTGTTTACTTTCATTTTAGACATACCCAACTGTGTTTATATGTAAACCTTGTGTGTTTTTGACATTATTAGATGGAAAGTCAATCAGACATAAGACAACTTAGTCTAGTAATCAGGCACTGTTTTAGTGTGCGGTGTTTGCGCACTTCATGTGTACGTTTTCAGAAAAAGCGCACATCAGAACAGAATGTGAATGAAATGTTTAACTGGCTTTAAAGCAGAAGCAAATAATGAACTTTTGTGATTGTCCCGTGTGTGTAACTTTACCCCTGAGTTAACACTGATGTGAATGCATGTGGCGTTGCCAGAACTGCAGCTGATAGAATGTGCGCTGTAGCATGATACTACGACATTTCTTTAAAAGCAGATCATGGAGACATTTTAATCCACAATCAAAAATTGTCATATCACACACTCTTAACTACCAAGTATAATCAATCTCACACAAACAAACAAGCACAACGGAATCACTTAACACTATTAAGTGGCTGCGTTATGAACACACAAAACTGTATCGCACACGTGCTACAGTGGAATATGTATTCATCGCACAGACCAGTTTATTCGTAGCACATACAACATATATGTCGCACTGTACAGCCCTGCAATTGTCAGGATTATGGACTATTCTATCGTTGTGTCTCATTTAGAAGGCTGCGTCCTCCGGAGGTCGCATTCGAAGGCTGCATACGTCATCGAGGCTGTCTCATTTCAGAAAAGCAAGTAGGACACTCCGAATGCGACCTTCGAATGCGACCTTCTTTCACAGGATTTCGGAGGATGCATGAGGTGTATCCTTCGCTGCTACAGATAACCCACAATTCTTTGCGTCGCCGTGAACAACCGTTGTTAATTTGAAAAATGCCGGCGCCGGCAGATGTAACGTACACACAAGCGCAGATGTGGTGTTTACAACTTACCTTAATTTGCCTCGGTAAAAACGGATAAACTTTGTTTTTAATATCCTCCTCCTTTTCTTCTCTAATAGATGCCTGCTGTACGTCCGCTGCAGCTCCTCAAACATTGAACAAAATATAACAAGTAAAAGCATTTTTTTTTTCAAATTACTTTCCAAATTTAGAAATAATTTTCCTTCATTTAAGTAGTGTGAGCGCGCAACGATGCTCTAAATGTGTTGGCATAGCAACGCGATACTTCCGGTTTCCTTTTCCGCCTGTCCTACGAAGGCCGTCTCGTTTAATTCTAGGTTGAGGACACTTCGTATATGCATCCTACAGAGGATGCGACCTCCAGAGGATTCGACCTCCGGAGGGTGCAGCCTTCTAAATGAGACACAGCTTATGTGTGTTTTTGCCCCTGTGACCCACTTTCTTCCTCATGTTGATTGTGTTAATTTGATTCCAGGTGTGTCTCGTTCATCCCCAATTATCCTGCCTTTAAAAGCCCTAGTTCTTTCAGTTCTTGTTTGTCGGGTCTACTTGTTGAATGTCCTCCTTGTTCTCGGTTTTCCTGTGAATTATTAAAGACTGTGCTATTCAAGTACTCCTCGTTCCTTGCTCTCTGAGTGAATTGTGACCGAAGACCTGACTGATACAGTTACCTCCGTTTGTACCCTCCGTTTTGTTTCTCTTTTAACTCCGTTTTTTGTTTCCGTTGTGTGCCCTATGGATCCCCTCCTTCGCCCCGAATTCATCCTCCTCCTGCTGGAGCAGGGGGAAAATTCGCTCGAGGGTCATACCAGACTGTTTCTGGCTGTGGCCCATCTCACCACCTATCCGGACGACGCGTTCTATGACGCCAGCCGCAACACCGCATCCGAAGATGGCCCTCAAGCTAAATTCGCCGCCTTTGTGGAGTGGACAGTGGTGAGAAATGAATCTCCGGTTCCCAGGAATTTATCGCCAGTGCCACTCCCGACCCAGAGCTCAACCCACCATCTCCCCGAGCGCATGCCTGAGCCCGCCGCGACCGACGAGCCATCGCTAGAGAGAGCGACTGAGCTGAGGATCGCCGCGGAGCCAGAGGCCGTGACGTCAGTCAAGGTTTGTGAGCCGGCAACAACACCTGCCACGAGGGAGAAAGCCACGGACGGTGTGAGCGCGGAGAGGAGCTCCGCCCCCTGCACCACGGCTAAGGGTGAGCGGAGTATGGCGGGGTGAAAGTGCCAAAGGGACGAGGACAGGGTTCCAGGCCCTGAATTCAGTTCAGTGCGCCCTCCAGTGCCTGCTCCTTGAAAGCGCCCTCCTGTGGCCGCTCCTCGAAAATGCCCGCCCTCCCACC